AAGAGTCGAGTTGATAATGCGCACCCAACTATTGTGAACTTCTATGCAGACAGCGGCCCAACATTGATTCCGGGCTTGTAGTGGAGGGTGGGGAAATTGTGAGTGGTTGCTTTTGTCTACTCGCTTGGCATTCATTTAATTGCTCAAAGCAAAAGGCACACAGCAAAGCACAGCAAAGCAAAAGCTGCGCGCATATTTGAAGTGGCCGCAATGTGAAACCTTTTATTATAATTTAGGCAAGGCACGCGGCTAGTTGTGGAGTTGGGGCATTGACGCCGCTCGAGCGGAAACCACTAACCCCAAAAGTGACCCCATCGTGTGCTCTATATATATATATATATATATATATACATATATTTGTGTGTATTTGTGTGTGTGTTTAGGCTTGTGCGTGCCAATTTTCATTGATGTTGACCCAAACTAAAACCGCAAATAACGCAAAACACAAACAGTAGCAGAAGCTACAACTACAACTACTACTACATGACAAGGCCACTAAAACAGTGAGGCGCAAATGTGGGCGTGGCAAAGATCACAACAACAACAATAACGACAAGTAGTCCAATCATGTCCAAATCCAAAAGCCACAAACAATTAAACAAAATTGCAAATTAACCGACGACCGACGACTCCATAGTTGACAACAAGAAATCGACCGACAGACCGACGGACCAACAGGCCACGCCCCCGCCACCCCGGGCAGTCCACGCCCCATTTGCGGTTTTTTGGGTGGCATCAGTAAAAATGTCAAATGGAAGGAAGTGTAGGAAATTGCCTATTTGCAATTGTAATTTATTCATGTGACTTAATATGCCGTGAAGCGTCAGGGCTCCAAACAAAGCGACAGGCTTCCAATTGTGCAAAACAATAATTTTCTCTCCAAAATACTTTTTTGTTTTTTGTTGTTTGTATGTTTGTTTTTGTTGTTGGCTGTCGCTTGGTTGCAGTGGTTTGACTAATGACTCGATGTCAAGGTCAGTGCAGGATCATCATCGTCATGATTATTGTTCTAGCTGGATTTCAATTACGAGTTGCGCCCAATTTGACCAAATTAACATAAACTTTGACAAAGCATGCCCAAAAGTTTTCGAGATGAATTCGCAAAAGGGCCCACAAATCGGATACAATAAGTTGGGGGGAATTAGTAAGTTGATTTTCAGAGTGGATCATAAAATTGGAATATGTATGCATATGTATAAGGCATGACTTATAGTTAATGATACCACTTAAGAGTGAATGCGTACAAAATTTAAGTGTATACTTCATGGATAATGCGCCCACATTTGTTTGCTTAAAGTAATCCTACAGTTTTTCAATTAATTTTGTTATCGATTAAGCCGAAACAATTTCTTTGTACATCTAATTGTGAACTGTAAAGATTTGCCATCAAATTTAATTGAATGAGTTAACCTGGCTGAATTCTCGTTTTATCAATTAAAATGTAGAATCTTTTGCTATTCATTTGGTTGCCGTTACCACACACACTCATTGCTCTGGCAAAGCACTTTAAATTGCAAACAATGGGCGACTGTTTCTCTGGCTGGATTGTTGCAATATGCTGTGGCTACTTAGACGTACGTGCTTAGTTCTTGCTAATCCGGTGGCAGGCTAAATTGACTATAGATTGCAATTTTATATCTCAACATTCAAGCAAAGTGCTGGCCATTTAAAATGGCTAAAGCGACAGCACACAGCACACATTTGATTAGAAAAGACAACAATGTGGCTTTGCTTGATTGGCAAGGCCAAAAACTATGTTGCGGCATGAGGCAGACTGGAGGCGAGTAGGGGACTGATGGAGAGTAACAATAAATGAGCGTCCATTTGCGTACGACCATGTTGAAGATCGACGCGCACACAGAAAATAGAAAACGAAATTTGTGTTGGCTGTCAAATTACGTAAACATTGTCATAAATGAAAAATTCATTCTGCAAACCACTAACGTCGCCGCTCGTCGGATTTCATTTGCTGTTGCAAATTTGTCAAGCTCGTCGAGCCTTTTTTCTGAACAGAACACTGGATACTGGATACTTGTGTTGGGGCTTACTCGCCGTCGGGCCTCACATGAGAATTTGGCTGTTTTTTTTTTGTTGTTTTTTTTTTTGGTGGCACGCTGTTTTGTTTACATTACTGCAAAACCCGCAAATTGCCATCTCCTTTCTCTGTACTGTTTTTATTTTTATTTTTTTTTATGAAGAGCTGCCTTTTGGACTATGTAGCATGTGGAGCCTTCTACATGCCGGCGTCTGTCTTGGGCGCGACGTATTAATTATTCATTTCGATTTTTGCTTTGCCAACAGACTGCCATATTGAGCCGTGCTTGGTGTTGCTTGCTTGGATTTTGTTGGGCTGTTCTGTTCTTCTGGTTACTGAGAGCTGCTTGTGATTTATAAACACGCGTGCCGCACTTTTGGTGATTTACTGCAAATTGCTTTATAATGTTATATAAATTTTCTTGCTACTCATGTTGTTGCTGCCTTCTGCTGCTGGCTGCTGTCTGCTGACTGCTGTCTGCTACTGCTATTGTTTCTATTCAGTGCTTGCCAGCCTTTGAATAATTATGAAAGATGCAAAAAATGCCAGAGTACAAATCGGTTAAGAGCCCCGCCAAATGCACTTTGAACTCTTACTGACAGATTAAGTATACGCACGACCTTTTGGGACGCCCATCAACCGCTCGGTGCCTGGCGGCTCTCTGTCTGGCTGTTTATGCAAATATGGCGTTAATCCGTTAATTTTTACGTCGCGATTGTTGCGCTATATGCTACATTATATTTATTTTATATTGTATAAAGATATTTAATGCTTGTTAATTTCGCAGCATTGTGCTTAATGGGGCTTAAGCTTATTAGGCATATCATTTGACTGATTCTTAAATCCCTCTCTCAGAGCGTTGTTAATTATTACGGCCAACAAATACTTGCTTATGATACTTATTTACTTGAACACATGCTTTATGATTTTAAGCTCCTTGGAGAGCTCGTTCAGCTGTTTTTCAAACTCTTTTTATTCTGAACAAATTGTACATGAATTTCAATCACTTAAACAGTTTCTTTTATATTTAATTTCCCTTATTATTACTTAAAGCTAATGCGACTTCAATTAGCCCAAATTTGTAATGTTTCATGTTGCGAACGAAATTGAAAGCAATTTTGTATTTGAACATAAAATCCTTGAAGTGAAGGTCATTTATAGATTTCCAACGAAAAACGCAAAGTATTTTTTGATTATTGCTCTGTGTGAGAGAGAGAGAGAGAATTCAGTAAAAACAACAACAAAAAAAAGTAAAAGTAAAAGCAAAGCTTTTGTCTGCTACGAATTACATGCATACGAGTTGAATTTTATGTAAATTTTTGTGTATGGCTGATTCTTCTCACATTTTTTTTATGTATTTATATTTTTTCTTCGTTTCTCTTTTTTTGTTGTTGTTACTTTGCCTTTGGGCTGGGCCTTTTTATATTGTATAAATTTTTCGTAGCTGAAAATTAGAAATGTTCCAGCGCGTTCAACTTCACTGACAGTGCGTGGCAAATTGCTTTCCGAAGTCTGAAGTCTGGCCCACACACACACACACACACACACACACACACACACCAACGCAAACACACACACATGTTGACGCCATACACAAACATAAACCAATTGCTAACAATAATAAAATTCCCATTTTTTTTTTTGCTGCGCCGTTTCCGTTTTCCAATATTAAGTACAGTGCACAGTCAAAGCCAGGAGAGTGAAGAGTGAAGGGGAAGAGGGACGGGGGGCATGGTTTAATTTGCATGAACAGACGACGAGCACATAATATCTATGCATTAAAATTATGCACATTGCCGCAACCAAATGGCAAATAATGGCAGCCAGATAGTAGATAAATTCGAAAAAAAATCGAAATGTTCGCCGGGAATAGAAATTGTATAGCTGCGCGTGTGTGCACATGCCGTATGCGTAATAAATATGCCCGACTCTCATTATTCTCACATAAATGCCACAGAATCGATCAGCGAGCGTTCCGTTGCACATTCAAATGGATAATGGTGCATAATCAGAGTGGATCTGGTGCGGGGTCTAATGGCAGAGGGGTGCCAACAATTACCTTAATTACGCTTTAAACTCTAAGCCGGATATGGTTGTGTATAGAGAGTGGGGGCTGTAGTTAGCCAGATAAGTGAAAATAAGTAACTATTTGGCAATTTAAATTGCAAGGCTGCTGCTGCTGCTGGCTAACTATGGCCCTGGCCAAAAATCGTGTAATAGAAAAATAAATGGCAAGTGGTGCCACAATGGCCATATCATTACGAAAACGGCGTTTCGTCATTATCGTTTTACTCTCATTTCCGCTTTTTCGAATTTAGTTCTTATACCCTGCAATCATTATAGATTTGTGAAGAAGATAGCTTGAAGCTCTGTAGGTTTATGTAACTGGCAAAAGTTCTCGAGTTCGTATTAAACCTTGTGGAGACATCAATTGACGAGACTTGTTTGAAAACTTTGCGTATTGGTTCAAATTTCCGACTGCCATAACTTTGTCAAAGTTCAACCGATTTTTAAATGCATCACCGGTTTATGAAGTGTTTAACAATACTACATTTTTAGTTGACAGTTTGCCAAAACTGAATCTTTTTAGTCTTTTTAGTTAGGGTTAGTCACTTAAATTGAAAAACACAAATGTTGCTAAGCTTGGGTATTTGCTAGTCGACCAATGACGACTCGAGCTCTGTGTTATATGTACTTGTTTGTCATTTAACAAGCAGCGTGGCAGAGGCGTGTCAATGAGTGGATTTGACTTTGTGGCAGCTGCTACTTGAGCTTGTGCTGCTACATGCCATCAATTCAGCTGGTCTTTTGCCACCTCTCATTTTCAGCTGCTTACCTACTCTTTAAGCATCTTTGTCGCAGCAATACTTTTCGTGTCAGTCCACTAACAGAACTTAACTGCTGCTCTATCTCACTCATACATATACTAATCCCTCTCTTTCTCGCTCTCTGATACTCTTTGCAGCCACGTAAAACAGCAGCCGGGCAATAGAAAAGGCAAACAGCGAAACGACGTTGCCCGGGGTCATAACAGAGTTGCCTTTTGTGCCCGTCTGGCAATTGGCCAAGTTAATAAAGAGAAAGCCGATAATGACGTTGCTGCTGCAGCTGCTGCTGATGTTGATGATGACGCTGCTAACTTGGTTATTGCTGCCAGCATAGAAATTGTCAGCAGAGTCACGCAAAGACAGACATAAAACAAAAGCAACTCGCCCAGCCTCGTATCCTTGAACGTCGTACCGTCGTCCAGTAAGGCCCCAGTCCCGGCGAGGAGCAGGGCTTACTGCATTTCCGGTTGTTGTTCCTGTCGTTGGTGCTGCCATCAACGCCATCGCCATCGCCACCGCCATCATGCCGCTCCAAATGGCCCAGAGCATCTGCGTGGCTTGGCTGCTGTTACTCGTAGTTATTGTACTGAGCGGTAAGTACCTCAACCAAACCCTGCCCGAAAAATTCATAGACTTTCCCCCTGCCCATTTACTTTATTTATGCCAGCGGGCAGCGTTTGGACAGAGACTTTTAGTTAAGTTAAGTTTTTCGCTTTTATTGTTGCCATAGGTAATTGTTGGCATTTGTTTGACGGCAAATGCTTTGGCCGCCCTCCAGGCAGGTCCTTGTGTTGGAACCGCACCAAACGGCCGGGATTTTGTTTCAATTAACAATTAGTTTCTGCACACAAAACTTTTGCTGTAGTTTTGTCGAGCGGGCCAAAGTTACCGCAAAAAGTTATATGCACTGCCATATTCAATTTAATATAATAACATTGCGTATACGCCCCGTGGTGGGGCGATGTCGTCGCCATTTACAAAGGCAAGAACTTGCATGCATGCACACATATCTTATTTCGAATGCTACAGTTGAGCAACTACAAATATATACATTATATATATATATATACATATATATATATGTATCTGCAAATGGCAAATTGCATGCATGCAAAGTGAACCAAATCTGATAGAGTTGTGAGAACTAGCGAAACGAAACGAAACGAAAATGAACGATTCAAGCTTTTGTATGTCTGCTCGAGGAACTACATAATTTAGAAGCCAATAATATAACTGAAAGCAGTAGAATTCAGTATCTGTGTACATCTATTATTGTTGCACTTCAGAAAGTTTTGTACATTTTAAATGTGAAACAAAATAGGCATAAGCTAATAATAGGATTGGAATTGACTATTGAACATATAATAAACTGTTTGAAATTTAAAGAATTATTTATTTAAACTTGCCAACAGTGCCTCAATAGCAATTAAAACTATTTTTGGGCAGTTGTTATTGAATTTCATCAGTTGAAATTGAATAAAATTGGGCAGGCAAAAAGTTTGGCCTGCAGCATTTTCTGGGATACGTAAAAAAAGAAATGCAAAAACTACACAGAGAATGCTTTGTGTTTGGACAGGATAAAACAATAAAACGAGAAAATGGCTAACTTATAAAACATTTAAATTTCGTGCGGGCATATCAAATACTGTATATAAAAAAAGTATGCAAATTGCGCATACGTCACGTGCGCCAAACAAATTTGTAAATTGATGTTCAAATTTAATGGGTGGATTAGTTGTGCGAAAGCAAAAGATTAATACGACTTAAACATGCTAATAAAAAATAACTATATACCTGATTAAGGCCAACTGTTGAAAAACAAAAACTACAAATGATTTAATTAACAATTTGCGCAGCAAATATCTCGTGTTAAATTTATTTGATTTATGCTTAAAGTGAAGTAAATTTATTGCAACCATACAGCAACAAATAACTCCGAACTTGTGAATGGAACAATTCAAAAAATGCTCGAATTAATTGCATTTGCAGCAAAAATACAAAAAAAAACACGGTCAACGCATATTTCAAAATTCAATTAAAATAAGACAAAATGAAACGAAATGAAAATGAAAAATGGAGGATTGCCGACGGCGACACTGTGCAATTTCCGTTCAAGGGCGTGCCAGGTGGGCGTGAAAATAATTAAAGCGCAACAAAAACAAACATTGACAACAATGACAGCAGTTTCCGCTTTATAGAGACCTTTTTTTTGTTGTTGTTTATTGGGACAGTTGACTTCGGTGTCCGATTAAATTACATTTCTATAGTAAATATATTTACTAATAGCGTTTAGATGTGCACAGGTGTGTTTGTGTTCGTGGGAGGTCAATTGTCTAAATGGAAAAGTGCGGTTCACAGCAGTCAGTAGCCAGCAGGCGAATGTCAATTTAATTAGCACGACCAACGCTTTTAATACAACAAACTCCTATACACCACGCCCCATGTAGGCAGCTGGCCAACAATCAATCAATCGGTCAATATATCAATCAGCGTTGGAGACGCCAACAGTTTTGTTGAGTGGATTTGTGTGTTTTGAAAGCACTGCTAAAAAAGAGAATAAATCGGAGCAGCAACAGCATGAAGAAGTGCGAATGAAGAAAATTGCCAACTGAATGCTCTGCAAATTTTAAGACTTGAATGAAATGAGTCTAATGATTTAACTCAATATACTCTATTTAAGGCAAGTCTAATTAATTTGGAGTGCTAACATATTGTATTGAAGATAATAATAATATAAATTATATGGTATACTTAATGTGCCAAGGAAAAGTTAGAATTTTAATATATCTAAACCATCATTACAAGTACTTCAAAAAGTTTTTAACCCACTGGAAGAAAATACTATAATTGAGTTGATAACTTTATAACTCATTGAAGAAAACGCCTCCAAAATCAACATAAATCAAAATGCTTGCGACGTATTTTGAAATCCGAACTTAAATTTATATGTCAGCAGCTCAACTATGGTCAAAAAGTTTATGGAATCTTTGTTTGAAATCTATGATTTAATAAAAATTAATACATACTACATATTAAACACAACTTTTACATTATTTTTGTAGCATTGCCAAAGTTAGATTAACACGCCTATTTCCATTTATAGAATATTCAATGCTGTCCTTAATCAATTGACAAATTCTAATAGCAGTGATTTTCAATATATCACGTATTTCTGTGCATATTTTCAGATTGATTATGATTGATTAGGTGAAACCTAAATATTATTTATGTGGCTGCAATGCATAAGCGAAAAATGTGAATTGCTCGACTGGGCGAATGCGATTGTGATTTGAAAATTATACAAAGTCGAATTTACGAGAGTTGAACGACGCTCCATTAAAGCAATTTTATTATTAATATTTTGAAGTTGGTCAACAGTATTCACAGTTTACACACATACATGCACACACACACACACACACACATAGAAATTGGACATATTTGTGCCAAAGTTGTATTTGTCCAGGCAGCAGTAGAGCAAAAAGAAGTCAAATAAATAAATGCATTGGAATGAAATTCAACGAGTAGCGTAAAGCAAACGTGCCAGCCCGCTCGGCAATAAGCCAACATAGATGGGTTGAGCAGGGGCAGTACTAGGAGCAGAAGAGGTTGGGGTGTAATAGGGCTCTGCCTGAAGTTGAGTGGTTTGGTTGCCTGTGCGCGGTCGATGGTCAAATATTTGCAACAAACTTTTTGGCCTGGGCCAAGTCATTGAACGTTGTTTGGCTGGCCAGCAAACTCAAACAGAAACACACTCTCAGCCATAAAACAAAAATTGCACAATTCGCGTAGTGCTTACAAAAAAAAAAAACAGTTAAAGTGAATAGACTTGCAAATACCCTATACTTTTAATGACACTGTGTGTGCAGTGCGCTTCAAAGTTAACCAAAACTATGTATACAATATACCCAAAAGAGAAGTATAGTAAATATGTATACCTATATACAAATAAAAAAGTACAGTGAGCACTCTGCCAAGTGGGCAACAGCAGCTGGGGTTGCCACGTAGGTAATTGAGTATGAATGTGGAATGTGTCGAAAGCGTTTTTGATATTTGCCAAACAAAACGCTGCTGGCATGAAAAGACGTGAATAAAGCTACAACAAAAAAATTGTTAGCAGAGACTTGAACTCCTGCACCAGGTAATATACGTATGTATGTATGTATGTGTATGTGTGCGTCTGTCTGCGTGTGTGGGTGGCAACCAAACAAGTGGAAAATGAATTCGATACATTATCATGACGTCAAGTCGTGCTTGGCATGGTGGACTGGCCAGGCCCCGATTCCCAAGCCCCTAGCCCCTAGCCCCAAAAGAACCTGGCGAGGCCAAAGTGGCTGCCAAAAAGTATAAATTACGTGTAATGTCGGCGCTATACGCTATATCGATGGAAGCCATTTCTTATGCGAAACACCTGCAGCCGAGTTGTGGACAGACAGACAGACAGACAGACGGGCCAAAAGCAAATGTGCGCATAAATGAATTACCAATGAACCGCATGCGATGCTCTCTACGTGCCACATTTCATTTTCAATTTGGTAGCCGAACAGCAGTGCGCGTGAGTGTGGGTGCTGGCGGGGACGGTGGTGCTAATTTGTGGGTGTTACCAACTTCCAGATGGTCTAACATAGGCGAGTGTTTAACCATTTTGACAGATGCGTTGCACAAAGTGCTCGAAGAGAGAGGAATTGAGGTCGGGGAACTCACAATTCGACAGCCTACATAAAAGCGCAATTTGCGCCATTATGCGTCGAGTTCCATTTGATTACAACACGATGACAAGCACAAACGCATACACACATATACACTCACACTCACACTCACACTCGCATACGCATTCCAGTTGGACTCTCAGGAGTTGTGGGCGTGGAGTAAAAGCAATTTCACTAAATCTGCAATTGTTATGTCGCCTGCTAAACAACTCACTTTGTTCCTCTCGAGATGCTGCCGACTGCCTGCTGCTGCTGCTGCTGCTTCAGCTGCTTCTGGGGTAGCCATAAAAGCCAAACATTCTCACACGTCAAATATTTATATTGCATTGCTCTCTTACCACTCATTGTTGTTGTCCGCTTGCCTGTGCAATATGATTTGGGTATTGATTAAGCTCCAATTGGGAGTTGGGTCTGCTTCTCAATTACTGAAACGCTTTATATATACACAAATACTAATATGTATACATCTATATATATATGTATATATATATATATAGATATATATATTCCCATGTGGTACCTCATGTCTCTCAGTTTTAGTACATTTTTATGGTACATTGTAAGAAAAAAGTGAAGCGTATGCGGAGTGGGCCGTAAATCATGCAAACGCTTTGATGACGTCTATTAGAACAGTTTATAGGCTTAGTTAAAATGTTTATAGCACCAAACTTTACGGTGCAGAGCAATTAAACATAATGGTCCTGTTGATCAGACACAACCCAAAATGGAGAAAGGAGAAAGTCCCATGCTGTTGTCAATTGTCCAATTTGTCAGCTTACAAAATTATGAAGTTAATCAAGTGCTTTGTTGAAAATTTGTTAGTACTTCAATTTTACTGAATTATTTGTCGTAAAGATAACAATATTTTTTGTGTCTACAGACTT